TGAGGTGAATGAAAGATAAAGCAAAGGGGCTGGAGTGAAGCAGCTAGAGAAGAGAGACCCTTTCCTACCTCTGTGCAGCTCACTGGATTAATTTGTGTATCACTTTTTCTGGGGGTTCTCTCCTGACAGATGGCCGACTCCGGCGGTCAGCCCCAGCTGACTCAGGTGAGTACCCCTTCTGTCTCTGGGATGGGGAAGTGGGAAAGGATAGTGGCACTGAACTCTGGTCTTTGCCACACGCCCCATCCCCACACTGCCACAGTCTTGGGCTCCAGCTCTGCCTCTAACCTCATCTCTCCGTCTCCTTCTCCTCGCTGTGCTTCCACAGCCAGGCAAGCTGACCGAGGCCATCAAGTACTTCCTGCAAGGCATGGGCTACAGTGAGTATGGGGACAGAGGCTATCGTGAGGACAAGGATTGCTGCACGAGAGGCGGGAGGGGCACTGAGGGGGTGGAACCGTCTTAGGTTAATTCCTGGACTCACTGCCACATGCCAAATCAAGCTCATTGGCTGTGTCTCCATCCAAGCCCACTGAGTTGCCAGCCTGCCTTCCGCACCTCCTCTTTCTGACCATGTATGTACGTATCCTTCTGTCTCCACAGTGGCCTCATCCTGCATGACCCGCCTGTCCCGGTCTCGCACAGCCTCTCTGACCAGTGCAGCTTCCATTGATGGCAGCCGGTCCCGTTCTCGCACCCTGTCCCAGAGCAGCGAGTCTGGGACTCTTTCTTCAGGGCCCCCAGGGCACACCATGGAGGTCTCCTGTTGAATGACCCTTGTTGCCCAGTGTGGGACCCAGCCCTCACCTCCCCCAGAACTAACCTGGGAGGTGCATAAGGGCATTGGGCCAGAGTAAGCAAGGGAAAATGGGCAGATTATATGGGGAGATGATCTTCATCTTTGCTACCCTAACTTTGACCTTTAACCTGTGATTCTCCCTAGCTCCTGGGAGAGATGTCCTAATATCTCTTAGGGACCCAGGCCCCTAAATTATCCTCCCCCATTTTTGTGTTAAGGTGGAGAGGGTATGTGTCCTCTCTCTCTGATTTAGGTGTCTGTAGATGAGGGATAAGAGGTTGGTGCGGTTGTCATGGTGCCTCCATCAGATTCTCCCTACTTATCCCATATTTGCAAGGGGAGGGGACTTGGGGCTGGGACTCCATTTACCAAAGCTGATATGGCTTCTCGTTAACCCTGCAGGCTGCCGAAAGGTATAGGCCTAAATAAATGTGTGTCAAGGGGAGACTTCTGGTGGGTTGGTGGTCCTCAGGATGTGATAGCAACATCCAGTGTGTAAAAAGGAAGTTGGAATGGGAGGTGGTGGGCAACGAAGGTGTCTGGGGGGAGGATTGGCTCTAGGTGGGTGATAGGAGGGGCCTGGGGCCATTTGGCTGCACTAACTTTGGTAGCTGTAGGTGTGCATCTAGAGTGGGACGGGGAGGGAGCTAAGCTTGGGCTGGACTGCTTGGGGCTTGGCATAGGGGTGGAAAGGGCTACCCCAGGGCTCTGACCCCACTGCATTATGTGTGGAGGGTGCCCTCCTGTCTCCCACGACTTCTGCTGTAACAATAAACTGTAGAGGAATCTGAGCACCATTATTCTTCTTTGGGTATGCCTACATCCTGCCCCTCTTCCTATCCTCTTCCTGGCCAGTTCTCACATTCTCTTCTCAAAGGGACATACACCATGGGTGAGGGTGTATGTGGCATAGACACTTAACAAAGTATGACTGCATAGAAACTGGCCTCATTCCAATAGAGTGGTGTCTTTGATATTGCTAGTATTTTCAAGCTTGGGAGAAAGGAACTGCTTAGATCTTAGAAGGCTTCCTTATCAGTTATGGATCATTGAGAAAACCCATAGGATTTCAGAGATGCCACCAACATCATGATCTCTGAGAAAGAATAAAGAAAGCTGACTGAAGTCCCCAAGTATGTCTTGCGACCCATCCTCCTGCAGAATCCTCCCTAGGGGTCACCAAGAGTCTGTTCTAGTCTGTGCAAGAGTCTGGATCAGCACAACCAGTAGACCAGGACTCATGAAGTTACTGTAGGGGTTGGGTTCCTCATAGTTCATCCCAATCGGAAGACTCTTTCAGGAAGGTCACAGCAAAAAATGATTTCTTACTGGGAATTCCTCCTCCCCCATGGAATTCAAGGGATCTGGGAGCTAATTAGACAATGTTTGTGGTTCTCTAAGAAGCTTTTTAACAAATAGGAACTACAATCATCAAGAAGAATTCATATATTTTGCAGCTCATATATCGCAGCTCATATATTTTGTGGCACAAGACGTAAAAATGAGAAGGCATTTTGTAGCATTATTGGCAAGAGCACTGTTGGATGGAATATTACAAGGTCATTTGCCGGACTGCTTTATAGAAACCCCACAGGCAATTATACTCTTTCCTCAATGAAACTGAGCTGAAGACTAAAGCAGTTTGATGTCTAGTGCTGACACACTGATTGATATGGAAGTGGGGCATGGAATACATTCTTGATTCTTGAACATTTCATCAGTCTCTCCCATAGGACTGAGTCTATTTTAAATGCAGTAGGCCAGGGCAAGCAGCAGGGTTAAGGAGTTAGGTATTGACTGGTGAGAGTGTGGGTGACCACATGCAGGGCAGGCAACAGAGTGTTGAGATGCCACACTGAAGAAATGGAATTGAAATCACTGGGGCCATCTAGCTCCTAGGCAAAACACGAGGAAAAGGCAAGAAACTACAACCAGCATCACCTTTACTGGTTATAGCTGCTGTTGTGCATCATGCAAGGGAAGGCAGGTCTTTTCTGCACATCTGCCTATGTAGAAATACTGTCAGCAGGACAATCTCCAGGAATGGGAGCAAATTACCTTTATGTGTACATATGTGAGCATGTATGGTATATATCTGTCATGTAGGTGGGTGTGTGAAATGGGTGGTGACTGTACGTCTGTCCTGTAGATGTGTCTGTATAAGAAACCTAGCAGGTAGGTAGAGAGAAAGATGCTCTCTGCTGGGAGCTAGTGGGAGTGGGGTGGGGTTTGCTGTCCTTGACCTACCTCCCTCTTTTGTTGGTCCTAATGTTCTAGTCCAGCCCATGGTGACACAGTGCCCCCCTGTGGTTGGCCTGGTTCTTAATAACTTTCCCCAGTTCTCAGGTCCCTTCCTAAGATTCTCCAGTCCTACAACCTCCTCGTCTTTGTGGTTCCACGCAGTGGCTATATGGGGAGGTCCTGATATCGTGGTCAGCTGCTCCTGTCCATTCTCAAGATCCAACCTCAGAGGCTCTGAGGAGAGGTGTGGTGATTTTATAGAAGCCGAACCACAAACTCCCTACTTTTTGTCTCTGTTTTGGGCTTAGGACACCTATTTCTCTCTTCCACTCATTCTCAAGGAATATGAGTATTTCCCAGACTTTAGGAATGAAGCCCAAGATAGTGAAGAGAAGATTCAATGGGAAAGAGAATAAAACTAGAAGAACAGAGTGATAAAGAGCCTTATGGTTTCAGCTTGAAAATTCTGCATCTCATGAAGAGATTTTAAAGGGCAAGTCACTGAAGGTACACACAAAACAGGGAAACTGCAGCAGGAGGGATAGGTGTTAGACATTAGAGTACTTTAATGGCTAGGGAAAATGCTGGAGTGGGAGATTTCTAGAGAGTTTTTAGGATTATCTAGAAAGTGAGAGTCAGTTCTGAGTAGAGGCCAGGGGTGTGGTGAAGGTAGATGGTGCCTAGAGCAATGGGATTTGTTTATACCCTCTCTCCTCACTAACATCAGAATTGTCCCCAATTTGGATAAATATACAGTAAAAGTAGAATGCATTCTGTATTTGACATCCAACAAATCTTAAGACAGTAACTCAGAACACAATTAAAAATTTTAAAATATATACAACTGGCATTTTGTAAGCATTCCCACAGACTGAGGGATGGTGCCTGGGGTGTCATCCCTCTTTGCACCCCTTTCGTTTCACCTTTTCATCTTTGCTAGTGGCAATGGACTCCCCCTCAGGGCAGTGGGGGACCACACTCAGACATGCTCAAATTCTGGCAGCTATTCCTTGTACCCTATCAGACCAGAGCCCGGAGCGAGGGACTGTTTCCTGTAGTAAAGGTGGCAAGATGCTCCGAAATTGGCCTTCCTGGGTTTTGTTCCTGGGTATGTCTTGCCCTTGACTGGCCTCCCACCCTGCTCCTGCATATTCCCTGAACTCTGCTGCCTCATCTTTCTTTCTTCACAAATTGTTATCCTATAACTGCACTATCCAAATCAAACCCTCAGTTTGAAAGTGAAGGGAAGGTGAGGGAGTTCTAAAGGGTTATTTCGGAGAAAAATTTATTGGTGGCAGAAATGGAAAGCTGGCTACAAGAAGGAGGGTGGTCCGAGGCCTTGTTCTAGTTCTACTCCTGTTTACATGTAGGTAAAATACATGTGCTGGGGTGGAGAATGAGGAGTGGGGAAGAGGGACAAGGACTGGGGAGACTTGAAAATTGTCCCACAAGACTTCTCTCCTGACTATTCTAGCTAGCTTCCCCTAATCTCTTCTCCCATCCTGCATATCTTCCCTCCTATTTTTATTTTTCAGCTCTCATCATTCCAGCTATCATCTGTTACAGCCTGTCTCTTAGGGCTGAGTGAATCAAGGCTTATTCCTGGATCTGGTTTCTAGTCGCCATGCCCCCACGTCTCAGCTCTCCCTCCTGTCCTGTGGTTTTTTTTTTTTTTTTTGAGACAGAGTCTCACTTTGTTACCCAGGCTAGAGTGAGTGCCGTGGCGTCAGCCTAGCTCACAGCAACCTCAAACTCCTGGGCTCAAGTGATCCTCCTGCCTCAGCCTCCCGAGTAGCTGGGACTACAGGCATGCGCCACCATGCCCGGCTAATTTTTTCTCTATATATTAGTTGGCCAATTAATTTCTTTCTGTTTATAGTAGAGACGGGGTCTTACTCTTGCTCAGGCTGGTTTCGAACTCCTGACCTTGAGCAATCCGCCCGCCTCGGCCTCCCAGAGAGCTAGGATTACAGGCGAGAGCCACCGCGCCCGGCCTGTCCTGTGGTTTTTATGCCTGTTCTTATTGGGGCCTTCTTGTTTCAACCTCATTCAGAAATCACATTCATCTTCTGCTGCCCTATAGCCTTCTCTGGCTCCTTGTTGGGAATTTATGTCTTTCGAAAATGATCAAAGATTATCTCCTTTTCCTGGTCCTGATCTTCTCCCCTGATATTATCTATATGGAGCAATTCTCTATCTTTATTCCAGCTCTTGATACAATATGGTTCAAACTAAAGATGGTTCTGGTCCTGATTGGTAAGAATTTTGGGAGAAGGAAAGGAAATGGCCTGGGGAAGGAAAGTACGCCTTGATAGCTGAATGCAGAGGAGGCTAAAGGGGAAGGCAAGGGCTCCTGGGATAGTAAAAGGCAGAAGTGCATGACTTACCCATGCTGCTAATATCCCAACCTCTGACTCATTTACCTCAATGCTAATAGCATCAGTGGTCCAGAACATGATCAAGAGCCCTGACAGTCTAACGTACTTCTCCTTAAGTCTCCTTTCTATAGCCATACAGATCCTCTGTACTAGAAATAGGCTCTCTGGCTTCCATATAATTGTGTCCCTTCCAAAATCTTGGCAAAATCACTTCAGTTGTGAATAGCAGAGAATGGATGGTATGTGTGGCATCTTCTGCTTGCCCCTCTAGATCTCTTTATTATGCTTTATGCCCCATGAAGCTGATCTCCCTGCAATGCACCAACAGACATTTTTATGTTCTGGCTTCTGTTTGGGTTTGCCCAGTATGAGGTATTAGCAGTAAATCAAACAGTAGGAGAGTTTTCCCCTGGTCTTTCCTTACTGGGTCCCTGCAGGTTGGTTGCATCCCTGACTAGAGGCCACAGCTTTTATTGGATGGCCGTCTCTACTTTCTGGTAGCTGCTCCTTCTCTTCAGCCTAGGTAACAGCATTGTTGTTACTCAGCCCCACGGTATTGCATCATCATTTGTTGCTTTGTTCAAATCCTGCCCACACCTTACTAAATACTCCCTTACTAATCTTGCCTCAATTATCCAATGTACTATCTGCTTTCTTCTGGGATCATATCATACAGGTTGGGGAGATGGGAGGGGGTGGTAAGGTAAAGGTAAGAAAAGAGAAGAGAATCTATATATTGAGCTTTTCTTAAGATCATAGAAACATGGGCTTGAAGCCTAGCTAGCTTCAAGCTAGCTTATGTGACCAAATTATTTGACTTTTCTGAATGCCAGTTTCCCTAGACTTACTAGGGGGATAATATCTACCTGTCAGGGTTGTGAAGGTACAATAATGTATGTGAAAGCAGTAGCACAGTAGCAGGTGCTCAATGTAGAAACTGTATTATTACTACTATAACTAAGTACAGTTCTGAGTATATTACATTACTGCATTTAATACCAAATGGAAAACACAACAGGATGGTGCTTCAAACAAATTATTTCCTGTGTTAGACACATCTATCTATCTATCTACCAATCAATCATTTTAGCCTAAAGCTTGCCTTCTCACTGATTCCTGGGTGTGTAAACTGGGCTTGTGAGGAGGCTAGTATTTCTTACTTTGTAGGGAGGGGAACAGCATGGAGAGGAGACAAAGACAAGAATGAAATGCAGGAGATCTTATCTGTCTGTGTTAAGGCTACTTGGGCTTCCACACTGAAAATACTAGAAGGGGCAAACTGGTGAGGGCAATAGAGCTCACAGGGCACCCGTTCTCTTTCCCTATTTCTCCACTAAGTCTGAGATATTCCTTGATCTCATAGCCTGGGGGCGAGGCAACAGTCATCCTGTTCCTCCTCAATTCCAGACAACCTGCTTTTGCATTTGTCCTTAGCAGTTTTTAAGAGAAGCAACACACTATAAGGGTTACTCAGACTGAACGACAATTTGTAGGGCAGGCAGAAGGAAAGCTACTAAGTCCGGGCAGAGCCAAATAATCACCCCAGGCATTTAATACCTGGCGCCTTTCTCCCTCTCTAAACACACAGCTTTTTAATCCCTCAGCACGAGGCACCGGAAGGAGATAGAGGGCCCAAAGAAGAGCAATAGTATCCCTGAAGCCACACAGGGCTCAGTAAGAAAAACAGGAACGTGATGGAAATAGGCTCCATTTAGGCTATCTTGAGAGTCAGCTGGGTATGTTGTGGGTGGCTTACAATAGGTACTGGGAGTAGGGAGGGTGGTGAGTGTAGGAAAATGACCAATCCTCATGGTTTCTGTTTTTAAACTTCTTTCCCTTTAAATACTGGGGACTCTGGCTCATTTTCCCAACTTCTGAGGCTAAGGTGGGAGGGGTTTGCTGGAATTTCAGCAAAGCTCCCAGGCCTGGGGGCGTGGCTGGCAACTCACAGAATGGCTAGAAGCTCTAATTCCAGAAGAAAATACTACATCCAGTACTCATTCTTCCCATTCCACCACTCCCTGCACCAGGCAGCTTCTAGGTAACCAGGAGAAATGAAATAGAATATGGCTAAAGGAGAAGGGCAAAATGAACATTTTATTACACACAGTAGTATAAATGGGACAAGAGTCAACTTTGGAGTGGTCTCTATACCAATTCTCCAATTAATAGGCACTCAACCATAATATCCTTTTTTTGGTTCTGGGTGAGAAATGTGATCTCATATAAGGAACAGCTGGGATCCAGTCCATGAAGACAGTACCTAGTGAATGTCATTTAGTCTCAGTGAAGAAATGTCCAAGAGCCAAAGCCAGTTGGGAGGTGTCTCCTGGGGGTAGGGAGATCATCCTAGATAGGCCCGTCAGAAAAGCCAGGAGTCTCTCAGACCCACAAGGCAATAAAGGCCATAAAGGCAAACCCAGCAGCTACACAGCCCCATTTGGCTAGAGGGGCCGCAGGACCAGCTAGCTCCCGGGGCAGAATTTCTAGGAAGGTGACATACAGGAAGGTTCCAGCTGCCACACCCTCTAACACGGCCTGGGTTAAGCCCCGCTCCTGTTCCGGGTCCCCTCCAACCACAGCCAGCCCAAAGGCCAGGCCTACAGGGGACATGAGAGCTAAGGATAGTATGGAGAACACGGCCCATTGTGATCCAGTGCCTATCTGTACCAGCCGCAGTCCTACACCAAACACTACGAGCACCTTATGAGCCAGGACAGCAAGGCAGAGCTGCAGGGTAGCTGCTACTGTTGGCTGCAGCCCTATAGCTAGACCTTCAAACACTGAGTGAAAGGAGAGTGACAGCAAGAGGATGAGGGCTCGGAGGGGACTCCGTGAAGGCGAGGGGAGAGGGCCATGGCTGTGGAGTTCCAAGAAATCAGTCCCTCCCCATTGTTCCTCCTGCACCGTTGATCTTCCAGCAGCCCCAGGACAGCACTGCACTGCTAGCGACTCCAAAAAGAAGACAACAAAGAAGCCCAGGGAGATGATGAGCTCTCCATAGGGATACTCCATCTAGGAACAGAAAGACAGGCTGTGAAATGGGAAGGGAAGACAGTGCGTTGGACGGATGAGGGACTGAGAGATTGAAGAGAATGGGAAAATGTGGCAACACAACTTTAAAAAGGGTGGGCGAATGAAGCCGAGAGTAGACATGCACATGCAACAACAAGCATGTCAGAGGGACTAAGGGATACAATACCAATAGGGTTAGAAATACGGGGAAACGATGTGAAGCTCATCAGAGGGTCCAGGGAAATGAAAGAATAAAGTGAGAGCTTTTTCCAGGGTTCCATAAACCCAAAAAGGATTGGGTTGGCTCCTCCTTTCCTCTACAAAGTCTGAGCTGGGGAGAAAGGATTCTTGGTATTCCTCACATACTCCTCTCAAGAGGCCCTGGGGATAAAAGGACTCTGAATCTCCTCACCTTCCAGGTAGAGGCTGCTGGGAGATACTTACATAAGCTGAATCAACATCAGAAGAATTTCCCTCACTGTCTGTCCTGTTCTAGGGAGAAAGAAGCAGAAATTAGATGGGGAACGGAACAGCTCAGCTTCCTGTCTTTTTAGCAATACCACTTTCCTTAAAGCCCAATCTAACCTGCTTTCACCATTCCACAGGAAGCTGTTGCCTTCTGTCCTTCCACCCATGTCCTTTGCTCCATCAGTTCCCCACCTTTCTTTCCTTGGTTCTGTTTATCCTTTTGGCCTCAGGGCTCTATAGCTCAGCATCTCTGCTGCTCACCTGCGCCATAAGCTTCTGCAACTCTGATTCAATTTCCTCCAGGGCTTCAGCAGTCATGTGCATGAACCCTGCTCCCAGGAAAATACCAGCAGAAGTGCAGCCCAAGAGGCTGAGGACTTGGCGGTGTCGACCTAATAAAAAGCATAAGTTACAACCCAGTTGGCAATGAGGAGATAGACAAAGGTGAGTAAAGAGCAATGGGCAGCAACCATTATCCCAATCTTGGGGATGATGAGAGAATCAGAGCAAGGTATAAGGATAGGATTGAGGTGAGACACAGGTTATGGAACAAAGATGGGGCAGGTCTATCTATACCTGTGGCTGCATCAATCCGGAACCATTTGAAGCAGATGGGAACAAGGCCGCTGCCTAAAGTGAGAGCCAGCAGAGCAAACAGGCAGCCAATTTTTACTCCTAGTAGTGGCTCCATCTCTGGGATGCAGGATAAGCAGAGGCCTCAGAATGACAAATGGAGTTAGAATCTTTGGAGCAGAAGTGGTGTCTAAGGTGGTCAAAGCTGGAGTATCCACTCCCCTGAGTGTCAGGAGACTGCTGGTATGCTTTTTCTGTTCTGTGTTGCCTCCACTTGCGCAGCGCAGCATTGCATAGCTGACTGGGGCCCTGCCCCGGCTTCCCGGCTTCCCGCCCTCCCCTTACATGGAGGCCCCTCCCCTGGCTCACGCCTTCTTGAGCTTGGAAACCAGAAACTCCAGACTCCCTGCCAGACACAGCTCAGTTGCTGTCTTCTCTTCAAGGCCATGACTAATCTAAGGACTATGGAATAGTCTTAGTTCATGCCTGGGGTTGGTCTAATGCAAAATAGGAGTTTATGGTAGCTACTTCCCAGCAATTTTGTGCGGGGGGAGAATCTGGTCCTGCCTCACTCAGGACATTTGATCTAAGCCTTCTGTACCCTCTCCAGCCCACCCCAAATCTTATAGGTTGCAATGCTGACACCTGAACCATGCTCTTTCACAGAGCATTTGGGGCCACCTGGAGGTAAAGAGGTGGGGCTGAGAGGTGGTGTTGCTGCCACTCTGTGGGAACTAGTAGGAGAGGGGACTCCCCTTTAGTGTAATCCCAGAAAAATAGCTCCAGGCATGGAAATGCCTAGTAGGGAGCTGAGATTTCTATTACAACACTGATATTGTCACAACTTCTGACTGTGCTTGTTTCCTGATAAGAACTATGGGAGAGGAATTTTTAAGACAAAGAAAGTCACTCTAGCCCTTTAAACAGCAGGGCATAGGGGAAATCAGAGATGAACCCAATAAATGAAAGGATCCTACCTGAATATATAGGGGTGGAGATGGGAGAATTGTTCCTGATGGGGATCAGCTCTCAAGGGAAATGTATGGGGCAAACTCTAGGGTAGCTGAGAGACCCTGGGAAAGATGGAAGGGAAGGAGACAGAAAAAAATAGAGGTGAGGCAGCTGCTGGTTCTCCTATTCAGGTGGCCCATATAACAATCCTGAGACCTGTTGAGCCAGTTCTGAGACAGCTGGGGCCAGCTTTCCCCACTATCCAATTATCTTCTTGGGGATGTCCCTGTCTCTGGTAGAAGCAGTATTCTTACAGGAGAGGGTGAGCTGGAAATTTATGTGGAAAGCTTGGCACTGAAAATCTGAGGATTTCTTCTTTACAGGATAGGCCAGGACAACTGACACCCTAGACCTTTTAAGAATCACAAAATCCACTTCCATTCTTTAAAAAATGTTTTAATATTATTAAAATCTCAAAAAAACACAGACATCTGGGGGTACCACCATTCCCATCCTGGATACCAGGTAGCTTCAGCCTTGGCAGGCTTGATAGAGGAAATACTTATTACACATCCTTGTCAGCTCTCAGGGGGATCTTGAGCAGGGGATGGAGGAATCTTGGACGGAGTGATCACGGGTAAAAGATCTCCCCAGGAGCTGGAACGGGCACAGCGATACAAATCCCTATAGAAAAGACATGTCAATGTGGGCTGCAGGTTCTTGCCACTGCACACTAATTCTGGTCACATCCCCTGTACCTGCCATGCCGGCGGGCTGTGATCACAGCATGCTGCATGTTCCCGTCTGGACAGCACAGGTGACAATGCACATGTCTAGGCCGTTTAAGGATAGGTTGAGTGATGCGGGGCCAGCGATTAGCCTCCTCTGGAGAACCACGGGCAAGGATCACCATAGAGAACTTTTCCTCCTTTGGTTTCTTATTCTAAGATAAGGATATAGAGACTGTTTAAAGGAAAAAAATATGGGAAAAAAACTGTTTAACCCTTTCCCCCATTCCTGCAGTTCTTTTTCATACTGTATAAATCATGTACATGCAGGTTGTAAAGTCTCTAGTCTATTCTATGAATTCTCCAATTCCTCCCACCTCTGATTCTTTTTCCTCCTGCTTTCCTAAACTATTTTCTCCCTGCTGTAACATCCCTAGGGTACATACCCAGCTGAAGGGGATGGGATGATAAGCCTGGGAGAAGCTACAGGCCAGGAGCTTAGAGGCTGTCAACTGGGGACAAGGAAGTTCATGGGGACACTGTGAACACAAAGACATGAGGTGAGACAAAGGAGTCTTCCCTCATAAAATTTAGGAATTAAGAATGATAGAGTCATGTGGGGCCAGAGAGAAGGGAGGACTGGAGCAGGAGGTAGGGAGAGCCAGGGGAATCATTAGGCAGGAACTGGACAAGAACACAAAGGAGTGGAGAGTGGCTCAGCTTTACCCTCTCACTTTTCCTGGTCACACCTGAGTTCAGATATGTGTGCTAGGACAGGCAGAAATAATACTCACTGGAGCAAAGACAAAACCAGGTCGAGGGTCCAAAGTCAACTTCTCTTTTCCCTGAAATCAAAGAAATAAAGCTACGTCTGAGGGGTCTATTTTTATAAGTCAATTGCTGCACTCAGTAAATTGAGGACTCTTTTAACATTCAACTCTAATAATGACTAACTGTGTCCTTTGAGGTAAGCTGGCTGCATCTTTAATACTCTAAACAAAGAACTTTCTCTTAACAGCAAGAGAAAAGCAGGAACTTGGCACATAGTATGGTGCTCTCCCTTGTCAGCAACCTCCACTCTCAAAAATAATCACACTCCAGGACAATTAAATTTATGATGATACACTGGCTCATACTCTGCCACAGGGACAAGGTTCTTGGCTGAGCAATGTCCTAGACTGGGGCCAGGAAATTTTATTTTATTTTATTTTATTTTTTTTTTGAGACAGAGTCTCGCTTTGTTGTCCAGGCTAGAGTGAGTGCCGTGGTGTCAGCCTAGCTCACAGCAACCTCAAACTCCTGGGCTCAAGCAATCCCCCTGCCTCAGCCTCCCAAGTAGCTGGGACTATAGGCATGCGCCACCATGCCCGGCTAATTTTTTTTTATATACATATCAGTTGGCCAATTAATTTCTTTCTATTTATAGTAGAGACGGGGTCTCGCTCTTGCTCAGGCTGGTTTTGAACTCCTGACCTTGAGCAATCCGCCCGCCTCGGCCTCCCAGAGAGCTAGGATTACAGGCGTGAGCCACCGCGCCCGGCCAGGAAATTTTATTTTAAAGGGCCAGAGAGTAAACAAAATCTGTTTCTGTCCCAACTACTCAACTCTGTAGTATGAAAGCAGTCACAGACAACAGAGACATGAATAAGCATGGCTGATACAAAAACAGGTGGCAGGTTGGATTTGATCCACAGGCCCTCATTTGCCAATCACTGCCCTATCACAATGACTTTATATGCCTAGTTTCCTGAAGAGTCACCCTTACCAATGTCTGACAGTCTCTTCAGTTTTCAAGGGAGTAACAGTAATTGATGACAGATGGGTGGGGGAATGAACGAAAGAGAAGGAACCTTACCTTAAGGACCAGGTCCCTAGCATCCATGAGAAGACAGTGCCCAGCTTTTGTTCCATTCTCCACCAATACCTGTTCACAAAAGGGGGAAATAAGCAAAAACCCTGAATTACATGAAAACATAAATGCCAGCAGCTCTGTAAGGGCATTCACAGATGGAGTAGGGGCCTAAATGGAAATGGGCATTATACATATGATGGGGATGGAGACCCTCAAAGAGGGATAAAGAGAACCATAAAGGACACAAATGTTCATGAATGAAGACAGTGAAAAGAAAAGACAAGAACTCCATGAAGCTGCTTTAAGAATTGAAATGAGGGAAAAAAGGATTTCGACTCACCAGGAAATGACCTGTCTTACGCCACAAGGTTTGAACTACCTCAGTGCGGGCGGCCTTGCTGGGCAGTTCACTTAAGGAAAAAGCTGATACCACCACATCAAATTGTACCTGAGGACCAAGACAAGGAACATGACAGGATTTAACATCTCCCCATTCCAAGAATACAAGTCCTAGCCCCTAAATTTCTTCTATGGCTTTCCTTTATCTTCTAATGCTCAACGCTGGGTTATAAGGCTGAGGCCAGTTTTCCACCTGCTCCACCTCACATTTAGAATACTCTAAACACTGCCACTTGCCTTGGGTGATACAGGTAGAAACTGTCTGAAAAAGACACCTGGAACATTAGGCTTCCCAGATTCTGAACCACCTGTGGAGGAAAGAGATGTGGCAGCTATAAATACATAGGAAGTTAACAGCCACAGGTATAAACTGATGAGCTATCCAAGTAAGAAACATGGCCCCAAGAATACAGCAAAATACTAGGTAAGAGTGAGATGCAAGAGGGTAAGTAAATATTAAAAAGTGCAGGGAGAATATTGGGTTTCCGGTCCTGTCAACCTTACCCAACCCATCCACTACCTAGCAAAGGCCTCTAACATCCTCTGCTTGACCAAAACATTGGAAGGAGACCAGATTCATCTTAACTTTTAGCCCTCTCCTCTATTTCCCAATAAAACACCCTTTCTAGTATTGCTTTGTTTAACTTCCTCAACTTTGAAAATGCTCTTCCTGATAGCTTGTCCTCACCTTTCAGTAGCTTTTCTGCCAAACCCAACATGGCAGCTGAGCTGTCCACACACACATATTCACGTAGGCTCTGGCCCCAAGTACTGTGAGCAGCCCTAAGATGGCAAAATATAAATCACCAATTTCCATGACACAGAGTCATCTCTGTAAGAAACCCACTTACTTCCAACCTCATTCCTGGGAAAACAGAGTATTATGTTAAAATAAAATATTAACAATGTTATTTTCTTACTTCATTTACAACTTCTGAAAAAAAAAGGCAGACTCAAGAAACTATTTGTAGGCAAAAAAATTTGATTGATATGCAAAACCTATGCCCTATACTAAATTCCTTTCCTTTTTAACGTTTCTAAACATTGGCTGTTTTTCACTTGATACTTAGGTAAAACCATATACTTTCTTCTGCCCTGTCTAAACTGAGGAAGAAACATTCTAGGTTCTCAGTTTTCCTATTCTCCCTCTGGTTTCCTAGTCTCTTGATATTGGAGTGGTACAAGTATGGCTCCCTAGAGCTAGAATTGAAAAAGGAAAGGATGAAGAAAGTTACTCACCAGGTGACAGAACCAATGCCAGAGCCAAAGTCCATCAAGGTTTGTGGCTGGAACTCTGGAATTCGAGTCCGGATCTGAAGAAACACACAACACCCCACAGTAAGGTAAGTAGATATTTATTTAGGGCCTTGGTAAATATGAATTAGGAGACTATGACAGAAAAGGTAAGATGTGAGTGTCTTTTGAGAATAGGAAGCTCCTAAAATAATGATTCTACCAATAAACTTTTCTTGGTCATAGAATCCTTTCAGAGTACAAAGACAGCCTCTTTAAAAATACGCACATGCAATATCCTAAGAATCCTTACCCCAGAAGATTACTTTATGAATAAGGGAACTGATGGTAAAAGGGTTCAGGCTGGAAAATAAGGGACTTTCACCTCATGGAATGCTCTGGATACTGCTGCAAAGCCACCATCCAGTCTTGCTGCCATATACACTAGGCTCAGTCCGTCATTGTAGCTGCCATAGAAATAAGCGTTAGACCTACTTGGAAATAACTGCAATCCCATAATTACCTTCTAGATTTTCAGGAAATGATGTCTTTGGAAAGGGCTCTTCTAGCTCAGGCCTCTCACTCTCCAATACAGAAGGGTCCTGGGGAACCTTAACCACCCAGGTAGCTTTTTAAAACACGACATTGACTGTGTAACTGTACTCCCCCAACTCTCTTTTTGCAGTCCAAT